GTGAACGTTACTATTAAAAAATGTGGAAATTAGTCCGATTGTAAATATTACTTTATTTTAGTGTCGATGTGAGACGAACGTATCTAATAGAAACGTTTTCATTTCAAGAACAAACAGTGTTAAATAATTTCTCATCTGTGAACCTTTGGTTTTCATAAACCTATTTAAAAGTAAAAAAAATTACAAATACGAGTACATGTTACTATTCAAACTATCCTAATATGTACAACACAAAATAGCTCTGGAGGACTTTCAACATCCGCAACAACTAAAATGGAAAGTACATGTATCTAGAGGATAATAATAACATAATCAAGGTTCGAGTCAAAGACCTGCCCTCAGAGAACATCCATTCATCATGACGGGTGAAAGTTCATGGTCTAGTCGCTGGTGGCGGAATGTTATATGTTGGTGTATCAACCATTCCTGACGGAAAGCAAATAATTGTGGATACGCGTATTTGCGTAGACGACAAGTAATATATATATATATATATATATATATATATATATATATATATTTTAAGCAAACTTAGGTAATCCGTATGGGTAGACCCGAGGAGGATGATATCCAGAGAGCTCAATGTAAAATTCAGAGCAGATATGTTTGAATAAAAAGCAAACCACGTTAAGATTCCATGTAATAAGTTATTACATGGAATCTTAACGTGGTCTGTTTTTTATTCAAATATATATATATATATATATATATATTTAACAGTGTTTATTTCGTCTACCGGCTGCGAACTCGAGAAAATAAAGAGAATTTGCCAATCATAGAAAGAACCATTGTCGTATCCGAATGCTTTAGACCACGCAGCAACAGAAAGCAAACACTGCCAAACGTTTGCCTAAGATAGGAGACAAGATATATAGTGGAGCGCTATAACCTTACGATTAACCAATGTTGCTTTCTTCTGCTTAAGCGCCTGCTGCACACGTTCAAACTGCTGCGAGTACTGGTCCGCAGTGGTAGTTTGGTCCATTGGTAACAGCACATAGTGCACCACTTGTCAACTAGTCTACCAGGAACAAAATATGATGTTGCGTGAGTGTAGACGTGTTCTTGCGTTGTGAAGCACGGGGTCCCGTGTTGAAGAACCAATGTTTGGCAAGCTTGGGAGTGTCAAACAGGGCCCACTTTTTGTTACTGGTGAGCGCTCGATCAAATATAGGTACGTTACACTGTCGAGAAACCAACGAGAAACAGACTGTCACACGTTATTGCTTGTTGGCTTCTAACAGTATGTGGGGGAGCCACTTGCTCAACTTGTTCGCCCTCCCTATGCACTGCAGGTGAGACTATTTTATAAGAAACTTGGAAGCGTTCGGCAAGCTCGCCGCAGGTTTGGCTTCTGTTCTCTATGGCCGCCTTCAAGGTCTCATCATCCAGGACCAGTGGTTGGTCACTGCAGGGTTCATCACAAAGCGACAGATCTCCCGGATCTGATCTACTGGAACCAATGTCTGGCGGTACGTTAACTGACAGCATTACCCCCAATTCGGCGACGTGATGCGGTAACGGACAAGCACATCTTAAATACATAAATCAGACACCCCCTCATCCAACGAGCTGCTTCGACGCGACAATGCTACTACTGCTCGAGTATGACTGATATGCGTGCGCTGCGTCAATGTGACACTATAAGTTGGATATATGCTCACCCGTGTGTGTGTGCGCCCGCACATCTGTGTGTGTGTGTATATATACACCCACACATCTGTGTGTGCGTGCGCGCGTGCACACATATGTGCGAGAAGATTAGTTAGATTTGACCTGGGTATCAAACTTCAAGACCCAATGACTTAAAAGGGTCTGAATTTAATGTCCCTGAATCGGAGTCAGCTAGGCTAAGAAATATTTTTATGTCCACTTTCTTCAAAAGGAGAAATGGTCATGAAAAAGTTATGGGTTTATTCGTGGGTGTCCCTTGCCCGGAAATGATGAAAGAGGACTCTGCATATATACGGGAGCGCTTTGGGTTTCACCAGAGAGAGACTTAGTTTAGGTTCGAGGAAGGGATTCAGGCCGTAGCAAGTAGCATCGAAGAGCGACACCCTAGCAGCCGGACATTGTTAGTTAGGATATATATATTTTTTTTTGCCAGCCGAGAATCAGCCCAGAGTTAACTATCCACAAAAGGTCACACGCCCTCCCTTTTCTTTTCGTTCTACCCAAGTTTGTAGTTGTGTTTTTCTTTTGCATGTAAACCTTCCTTTCGCTCGATCCACCGCACAGAAATTCTACGACGTGGGGTCTATATCTTGTGCAACGAGTGCAGAGGTGGGTATCTTCACATCAAGAGCAATGACTTCCATCCTCAACCCGTCGTTTTTCTACATCCGGCGGGAAGGCTTCGGATGATTAGAGGTTTTGAGAAGCATAGAACCATCTCTTAATTACTGTTGTTCCCAGGTTCACCCTGAACCAGGGTTGTAGCATCTGTTAGTGTATCCCCAAACAAAATACAACGAAAGTATAGAAATGCGTTTTTAGAGTAAATGACCAGCATTACATTTTATATAAAAAATGACCAACAACACCTATTTATTTAACACCTATTTAAATTACCTATTTATTTGATGTAAAATGACCACAATACCTATTTATTTAACACCTATTTAAATTACCTATTTATTTGCAGTAAAATGACAACAATACCTATTTATTTAACACCTATTTAAATTACCTATTTATTTGCAGTAAAATGACCACAATACCTATTTATTTAACACCTATTTAAATTACCTATTTATTTGTAGTAAAATGACCAACAACACCTATTTATAATAAAATGACCAGCCACATATTTTAGAGTAGAATTAGCAACAATATTTCATTTGTAGTTGAAGGAATTTAATGGTATTCAAAATATTTAGATTTCGGCAATAGAGGTTGATATGTCGCTAAAAAAGATCACACAACCCACCGCTTTTCCGACCCGCTCATTTGACTATCAGTGATGACTTCCCACACGACGTAAAATAAAACGGGAAGAGCTTTTTAGGATTACCTTATGTTTTTAATGTGATTTTCTTGTTGACGGATTCATTTCCGTGTCTTGGTTTTAAAAGATTATGGGAAATGTCCACGCGTTATGTTCGTTTTGTTCTTGTTAAGATTCGGGTTTTCGAATCAATTCGATCATTATCAAGAATAAAGGAAATCAAAGAAATTAAAAAGTCTGTTTTGTGATTGTTTCAGTCTTTGTGGTTTCGGATTTTAAGTCTCGAATGTTGGTAAAGTCACGTGTTCGTCTTTCTTCTTTCATATCACGAAATATTAGTTTTATCGGCTTTTCTGATAATATCATTAATTTAATAAACTCTGATTTTAGCAAATCCCCTAATCCTGGGTGGGTTGCGATAAGATTATTATTTTGTACTTTTAAGATTTATATAACATCTTGATTTCCGTATTTTGCCGATTGTATTATATTGATTTTACAAGTGGAAATTAGTTCTAGGGCACATAAACACTCTTTTGGTACTCTGTAAATTTTCTGTTTTTGAGATGGATGGTGACCGTGTCAGATTGTTAGATTTGACAGGTAAATGTTGGTTAACAACTTTTCATATCTTTTTTGATGTATAGATTATCGCTTTTGTGTGCTTAAGGTGTGATAATGTCAACGATAACAGTCCGAACAATGTAAATAGTGTAAATAATTACAATACCTCATCTCAGAAATATAAACAGATGTAATAGTCTTGAACTTATCTACGCAGGTGGTAGGATTTAAATGAAGAGAATTTATAAGCAAGTCGGGAGCTGGTAATAACATAAAATATAGACAACTGCTTTAGCATTAGGAACATTTTTGTAAAAGTTTTTTTTCTTTTAATTATTTCACCCCAATCAAGGCGATAATACCTCTAGCACGCAATGGTCTACTGGGAGTGAAAGAGAATAAGAAGGCTTTAATGAGGTGAAAGGACAATAAAAGAACAGGATTTAGATGGCAATTGGCATTGCATTTAAATTTTGAAGATTGTAAGTAGCAGGGAAGTAAGAAATAGGAAAGGATTTCTACAAGTGAAAAGTGCGAGAAAAGAAACTCTCAGAATAGAACTTACGGTTGAGTCTATCTAGTTCAACAGGAAAACGGTGAGACCTAATTGCCAATCTAGTAATATGCTTAATTTCATGCAGCCGAAGAACCAAGGAGGAAAGGTGAAAGTGGCACTGAGAGTGGAAGAGAATAATGACTTTAATGAAGAGAAAGAATCATAAAAGAACAGTAATCAGGAAGCCAGAAGACGACGATTGTAGTTGCATTTAAATTTGTGAAGATGCCTTCCAAAAGCTAAGCAAAGAATTAAAAAAATTATTTCGTTAGAAACAAAGAAAAGTGTACTGAATTGTTATGTAATATCATTCTTCCTATGCTGGACAGTCTCCTCACAGACGAAGAAGAGACTTGAAGCAACAGAAATATGCTTCTAAATAAGGATGCTGAGAATACCATGGACCAAACAAGTGATGGATAACGAAGTTTTAACAAAAATGAAGAGAAACAAGCATACTTATACTTAACACCTGGAAGTTCAATTTGTTTCAATATGGAGTACCCTTTTCTCAATGGCATATATAAGATAATGTTAATACATTTATATATACTGAGATATGTATTATTAAATAGGTAATGAAAATTATATAAGAATATATATAAATACATACATATCCGTACAAATGAATTTTAATCTCTGTATGTGAGTTTTGATTCATTGATTTGTTTTTTTTACGGCTTATCAACCATTTGGAGGTTAAGTAAAAACCAGATGATATTCCTAGATTGTAAGAATTATTTTGGAGATAATAATAGTTTACTGATACAAGTCAGACTAATTAACAGATAGCTAGTGGGAAGGGATGGATTCATATCTTTGCCAACGGTATATTGCGTATGAGTGAATATAACGAAACCGAATGGAATTGAACCTCTGTTCTCTGATTTTCAATTCCAATCCGTTATCCATTACGCCACCAGCATATCTAAGCTTGCAGCACCTGGAGTTTCCAAGCGGTTACCTATCTAGTTACTGATCAGACTCGACTTTGCTTAACTTCGGTGATCGCACGAGAACCGGTGTTTCAACATGATATGGCCGTAAGCGTCTCTGTGTGAGATCAAATTCTAGAAGACAAAAGTAGAAATGCAGTTATTGAAACTTAATGCTGTTGTTATATATCTGTTTTTAATATGTGAGAATACGATATTTCTCTGAAAAAGTAATGAGATGGGGGTGCCGTGCGAGCTCCTGGGCGAAAGGTGGATAAGCAGATTGTGTTATCATCTAACATGATATCTTGAATGTATATAACTGTTATCTTAGCTTTCTGCAACAATTGCATTTTTTCACATGCTTCTGCAGCAGAACAAATCGTGGCTGCTTCACCACGACAATGTACCTGCTCACAACGCCCTGCGCATCAGGTATCTCCTGACCGCGAAGAACTTTGCCATACTGGAACAGTCTCCCTATTCCACTGATCTTGCTCCGCGTAAGGATAGAGTTTACTACTGAGCAAGACGTCTGAGGAAAGTCTTTAACCGTCTATGTGGTCTGTCTGAAAAGTAACGAGGCTGCGTGTGCTGGACGAAAGGAGCGGATTGGGTTATCATCTAACATGATTTCTTGGGAGTATATAACTGTAATCTTAGCTTTCTCCAACTATTGCATTTTTTCACATGCTTCTGCAGCAGGACAAATCGTAACTGCTTCACCACAACAATACACTTGCTCACAATTCCCTAAGCATCCGGCAGTTCCTAACCGAGAAGAACGTCGCCGTATTGGAACAACCTCCATATTCACCTGATCATGCTCCGTATGACTTTTTCGTTTTCCCCAAGATCAAGGGGATCATTTTGGGGACCAGTTTTGAAGGCGGGGAGGCAATCATGAGAGCTGTAACGACGGAGCTGAGTGCAGTGCATAGAAGCGTGACAGAGTAGGATGGAAAGGTGCATTAGGCCCAAGGGCGATTACTTTGAAGGGGTAACCATGTAGTTTGAATGTTTGGAATTGAAATAAATTGTTTGTGACACCAATTCTGTTACTTTTCATTGCTAGCATCCTTTTCTTAGATCCTTAAAACGCAGATATTTATTTACATGGCGTATCTCTAGAACGTGCTTTTTTGTTATATTTTCATTCAATCTGAGATGTGTCATTAACTCTGTAAAATTTGCGCTGATAATTCAGATCTTTCTTTCTGTTCATATGCTTTTATCTAAACGTTTCTAGCTATGACGATAAAGTACATTCGGTAGCAAAGCCTCTGATCAGGAGGTTTTGAGGAGCGTGGAAGCACCTCTTAATCGCTATCGTTTCCAGGTCAATCCTAATCCCAGGTAGTAGCACCAAATTTTCACCTATGGGCAACTAGTGAGACCAAAAACAAACAAAAAAAAAAAACACTGAAATTAGGAAAATATATTTTTATAGTAAAATTACTTGCAATGCATTGTTATATAAAAAATTACCAACATTACATACTTATAGTAAAATGACCAACAGTATATTTTATCTGTATTTGAAGCTATAAAAATGTGTTCAAAATTGTTGTGAGACCGTAACATACCTACAACATGAACTCTTCTAGGACTATATAAAGTATGCGATATAACACTCTAGGAGAAGAGGAGGAAAGAGAGAGAGAGAGAGAGAGAGTATGTATTCTAATACCGTAGTATCAGCCGCGTACGACTACCAATATTGGACACTAGCACATAGTAAGCTCCGCTTACACTTACACTATCTTTGTAACCTTTTTGTTTAATATATCTTTCTGACCTCTAATCCGTGTTCCGTGTTTTCCTTCCGTGGTCCCAACTTTGGGCCCACATCAAAAATATTTAAATTTTGGCATTAAATAACCCAAACAGGTTGATATGCAGCTAAACGAAACAAACCAACAAACCAACCTAAATGTTTCGCCAGATTCATACCGCCTTATTCAGGAGTAAAACAAGTGCCGTCATGAATTGTATAGTCGAAAAAATATTAGAACGTATCGAAAAATACCAGTAATAGAAAAGAATTAGTTCAGTCGTCTTCACAATTTTTAGATCATTTGGACCTTTATGGCAGAGTTTGCTCTTCAGCTTGAGTTTCTTCTTTGAATCTGTAAAAAGAAATGACTTGAAAAATGTTTCTTTTCATTTCATCCTATCAAAAATGACGACAAAAATGTTTCTTTTCATTTCATCGACAAAAAAAATGTTTCTTTTCATTTCATCCTATCAAAAAATGACAAAACAAAAAATCATTTTCCTATCTTTTCATTTCATCCTATCAAAAATGACTACAAAAATGTTTCTTTTCATTTCATCCTATCAAAAATGACGACAAAAATGTTTCTTTTCATTTCATCCTATCAAAAATGACGACAAAAATGTTTCTTTTCATTTCATCCTATCAAATGACACACAAAAGTACATTATTTAAGATTTCAAATACAACGAAAATTGCATAAGAATATTTTTTCTGGTAGTAAAATATGTTATCATTGTAGGACAAATGGACAAAAATGAAAACAATATAATAGGAAAATAAAAAGCTGATAATAGCGCATCAGATTACATATTTCTCATGTCTGTGTACTGTAAACTAACATTCACAGGTTTATATATCCGATGGGACTCTTTTTGTCCCAAGCAATGGTAAATAAATCCAATTAAGACTTTGATTCATTGTCACTCTATTAATTTATTCAAAGATTAAACTTAATTCAGAAATTGAATTTATTAACAGCGCTTCGGTTGATAACGGGTACAGACTCAATAATGTGCAATCTAGCATTCATCCAAAAATTGCACAATTCAATGAACCTAAATGGGTCTGCAAAAATGTCCTGTGTGTACACCGTGGGTTGGGTATGTGTTGGCCCACCCACCTTCTCATCAGAATGGACTGATCTCTCTACTACTACTAGGACAGTTCTAGAGAGTTCTGGGAAGAGATCAGGTGACCATCACACTTCCGTCTCTCTACCGGAAGATACAGTTGGACTTTATACTCTTTCTGATTGTTACTGACTAACCTGCGTTCGTTTGACTACTAATCTCTCTGTTGTAAATACCTCTTCAGATATACCAGTATTTTCCCCTACGTATGTGTTTGTCCTTATTTCAATACACGCACGCGGAATCACTCCCAACATCTCAACAGCATGTTAGCCCGATATTTGCTCAGAATATTTCTAACTGCATAGAACATTGTTATTTATCTATTATTTGCCGTATTGTCTGTATTGACCATTACGATCAATCCGTAAGGATATTCTATCTTTACCTCATATTAGTTCAGTTATTTATGGTTTAAAATGCCAATGTATCACTAAATATATAGTTAAACCAGTAAATGGTTGAAAGCAAGGCGATGCCAGCAAGTACCAGGCAAAATCTCTAAAGAACATTGTGATATTTTATATGAGTACGTCAATACATCCGGTTCTGCAATAGCTGGAACTTCGTATATATATATATATATATATATATATATATATATATATATATATATATATATATATATATATATAGTGTAAACCGAGGTCAACATCAGCAGCTACAGTATGATTGAACGAAATCTTCAGACGTTGAAGAATGAAATAAACTTTTGTCATTTGATATTGACCTCAGTGTTCACTTTTATATTTCCATACGCTATATGTCTGATATTGAGCATTTTTACCCATAAATATAACATAGATTAAAATTAAATTTATATATATATATATATATATATATATATATATATATATATATATATATATATGGGATAAAATGTCCTATGTGAAATATTCGGACAAAGTATGTCGTATATTCCATTAAAACATTTTATTCTGTTGTCATCGTTTCGCTCAATAAGAATATCCTCAAAAGAACCACTATATATGTTATAATTGTCTTTAGTATATTAATCGTTGTGCACATCCTTTTTATTCCTCGATTGATCTCTGAAGAACGATATTTAAATTTCATTTTAAATAGTTTTTTCTTTTCTGTTCCTTTTTCGATTTGCCTCTTTCTCGTAATTATATATTTTATTTTTCCTTTCTCTTCGTGCCATTTCAAATTGTTTTTATATGTCCGTTTTTGCTGCAATAATAAAAGTTAACGAATAAAGAAAATTTCAAAGGATTTATCGTTGCAACTGACTTTATGTTTCGCGTGTAAATCTCTCGTCAGGACCCGATATATTATTGAGCACATTTTTTACAAAAATCTGTTCACCTTTAAACGCGTTAAATTCTAGTAATTTTACGTGTTTTCTTTTTAAGTTTTATCGATTGTGTTACTGTTGTTATCATTGTTCTTATTATTATTGCAATAACAAACATAAAAGAACATGGCTACACATGAACCTTTTCTCTGTATCACTGGGCTGCATTGTCATTTAGCCATCTGTGGATATTTTTAAGCTGTCATTAAAAAGAAAAAAAGGTAAGATACTAAAGAATGGCTTTAGCTTTCTTTGCATGTTATAGAGAATATTCTAGTCGCTTATTCAAACCCAGCCGCTTCGTTTTCTGTATCAGCGTTGAGTAGATGTAGTTTTTAGCAACCGATTTCGTCTTCTTTTTTAATCCTTCTACACTTTCTTCACTCTTTTTCTCCGTTTACACTTGATATTCTTTTTCTCTCTCCTCCTTTTTTTTGCTTTGCTAAATCTTTCTCTATTTCTTCTCACCTTTTGGCATAGTTTTGTTTTTGTGCTGCACTTTGCACATCTCGCTGCTACGTGGCAAAGACTAATCGAGATGGTGACGTCATGTCGGCAGCATCACAGGGATTCTTCACATTGTTTTCATTTTGTCACAGTAGGGAAACTGGGTGAGTTGTCAGGTCTGGCATTTGAACGAATCGTCAATCCAAACTCGACGGTGTCTATGGAATATAGATGCCTGAAAATATGTGAAAGTTGAGAGGCTAATCGTTATTGAAAAGCGACCAACACAAAAGCCTGTTACGCCAAAAACACGTGACTTCTTCCGCCATGTTTCTTCTCGGGGTTTTCTTGAAGATAGACCGTAACTAAAATTCCTTTTATCTATAAAATGGTTGTCCCCAAATGATGAGAGTCACTTATTAAAGAGCTGAAAAGCAAACACAAAATAAACAGAAATATTTTACTTCAATTGCTTAGTAGAAATATTTGTTTCAAAAAGGTTTTGACAGATATTTCTATCGCTTTCAAAATAGTGCAACCACAAATTATTATGTTTGAGTAAACTGTTGATGCTAGAATTAGATAAAAATTTGGGAATTTTGCAAGTCATTTCGCCATATTAATATGAATTTTGCATTTTTGTGATGAATATAGTAAAATGTATCAGGTTTCATTTTTGAGAGAACTGTAACTTCATCTTTTTTTCGTTCAGCGTTTTCGCAGAACTAATGTTATCTGCATGTCCAACTTTAGTAACAATAGAATATACGCCTCATGTATACATATATGAAGATTGTCACTTCTATGGAAAAGAAGACCATGTCTTCATCTCCTAGCTTTTTTTTCTGATTTTCATTCAGAATTCTATTATTTCTATCAGTTATGTCAAAGTTAACTCTCTGCAATGAATACATACATCATCATCATCATCATCTTGCGGCCTCAGCCGAGATTGAACTCACCAATACTTTGATTGGTGTAGTTCATAATCTTGTCAAATAGCTGAATTCTTGATGCTTCGCTAGGGCTAACAAGGGTGTTTTTATCGTGACACCAACACTAAATGGATTGCCAACCAAGGCTCAGAGAGACTCCATTCACCCTCCTCTTTGAATTCAGAGTTTTCTTTCTCCAAGACCAGTTGCCATCCAAGGCTATAGAATCCAGTCTGTCCTGCTATTTACCCATAGCTGGAGGGAGAAGAAAGAGGATTCACACCTTTCCCAAGCGTGCTAGCACGTAAGTGAATGTAATTCTGGAATTCGAACTCGGCTCTCCGATTTCTCAATCCAAGTCGCTATCCATTACTCCACCGTGCCTCCTCTACATACATACATGCATGCAATTTTGATCATAAAGTTAAAAAATACATGCATACATACATACAATATATATATATATAATAAATAAATCCTAATGAGCCAGGTACTACCTACCTAGGTTTCCCCACATGGGATCATCAGATATTACGTGGCTCATTAGGATTTATTTATTTTACTTCTACTCTACTTAGTGTATTGGACATTCTTCGTTTTAACTTATTACTAGCAGAGTTTTTTTCTTCTTTGTAACTGATATTTTAGGTACTGGACGATTTCTTTCACCCTGTTCGGAGGTTTCTAGTGCTTTCTTTTTTTTACCATTTTTTCCCGGATGCTAATTTACTTGAAGATTGTGTTATCCAGATTTTTCACCCACTGAGTTTAAATAGATTTACATTATATATATATATATAATATATATATATATATATATATATATAATATGTGTGTGTGTGCAGGTAACAAAAAAAGGAAAGAACATTTTAGGTAAATAATCCAGGGTTTTTTAGTATTTTTGTTTTTATTTTTAAAATCAGTGCTCCATAAGAATAGAAAGCTTAGATTATAATTATTTTTTTAAAAAATGATTCATTCCAAAACAAGAGTTCTCATGTTTCAAAAACGATAGCCTAAACAGGGTGAAATAGGGAAATTTTTTAATTCTAAATTTAATTTTAATGATTATATTGATGGTTTCAGCTGGCACCTCGAAAACGCCAAAAAACATGAGAACTCTTATGACAAGCGAAGGAATCATATTTTTTTAAAAAACACACCATTATATATATATATATATATATATCCAAGAGTGTTGTATGTATGATGACATATAGTTCTTGATAATGTTTGAAAAATTTAGTGTTCTTTAATAAAACTGAAAAAAACAAAAGCTTTTCGGCCAGTTTGTCGAATAATTTTTAGTCTCGAGATAGACATATGATAATATTATGTTATACATAGTAGATAGATTGATAGAGAGATAAATATGAACTGACTAGGATAGATAGATATGAATAGATTAAGATAGATGTGAACGGACTAAGATAGATAGATAGATAGATAGATGTGAACAGAATTTGTGAACAGACTAGCGTCCAATTTGATCAGAAAATAAGGCATCATCTATATACAGCCGTTTTCTCAGGTTAATGACTAAAAATGGCTTCAAAAAATTTATTCCTGCAATTCTTAAAGATGACGATTCTTCATTAGATCCTATAGATAGATAGATATGAACAGACTTAGATAGATAGATATGAACAGAGATAGATAGATAGATAGATAGATAGATATGTACAGACTGAGATAGATAGATAGATAGATATGTACAGACTGAGATAGATAGAGAAACAGAGATGTAACTGAGATAGATAGATAGGAATGTACATTTTGAGAAAGATAGATAAATAGATAGATGAACAGACTGAGATAGATAGATAGATGAACAGACTGAGATAGATAGATAGATGAGTGTGAACAGACTGAGATAGATAGATAGATAGATAGATAGATGTGAACAGACTGAGATAGATAGATAGAAGATGAAAACAAGACTGAGATAGATAGATAGATAGGTAGATGTGAACAGACTGAGATAGATAGATAGATAGATATTAGATTGACAGACTGAGATAGATAGATTGATAGATAGATAAATGTGAACAGACTGAGGATAGATAGATAGATAGATAGGTAGATGTGAACAGACTGAGATAGATAGATAGATAGGTAGATGTGAACAGACTGAGATAGATAGATAGATAGATAGGTAGATGTGAACAGACTGAGATAGATAGATAGATCAGGTAGATGTGAACAAGACTGAGATAGATAGATAGATAGGTAGATGTGAAAGACTTAGATAGATAGACGAGGTTCTTGAACAGACTGAGATAGATAGTTATAAAATATAATCAAAGAGACTGAGAAAGATAGATAGATAGATTGATAGATAAATGTGAACAGACTGAGATAGATATATAGATAGATAGATAGATAGATAGATGTGAACAGACTGAGATAGATAGATAGATGTGAACAGACTGAGATAGATAGATAGATGTGAACAGACTGAGATAGATAGATAGATAGATGTGAACAGACTGAGATAGATAGATAGATAGATAGATAGATAGATAGATGTGAACAGACTGAGATAGATAGATAGATAGATGTGAACAGACTGAGATAGATAGATAGATAGATGTGAACAGACTGAGATAGATAGATAGATAGATAGATAGATGTGAACAGACTAAGAAAGATATGCACAGACTCAGATGTGAACAGACTGGCGTCCAATTCGTTCAGAAAGTAAGGCATCATCTATATATTTTCTCAGGTTAATGCCTATAAATGGCTTCAAAAGACTTAATCCTATAATTCTTAAAGATGACGATTCTTCATAAGATCCTATAGACTGGCGCTACACAATCATAACCAAAGAGCTTTACTAAATAACAAAAACCACATCAATTAAACACTTCCAACAGCATCAATTACAAAAATATGTAGCACATATAATTAAAATAAAACAATGATACAATTTGCAGCAGAAATACCTCCCACATAATGGTAAGAGACTGGGTGCAGGACGACTCATCACCGCCAATTCAACGCCGCCGACGCAAGACCGCTGACTCAACACCGACATGCAAACTATGACATTTTTTCGTCGACTTTTAAAAAACAAATAAAAGTAATTTATTATGGACCCATTTTAAAATATAACTTTTTAAAACCGAATAAAATTAATTTATTAAGGATAATTTATTTTTGTCACAACGCCAAAGTTCTACGTTGCTGTCTCTCAAATACAAGAATCCATATCTTTCTTTTCTTCGCTAACTTAGAATTTCTATTTTCGATTTAATGAAAAGTTAAAAAATTAGACAAATCACTCAGTCAAATAGGTTGTTGTAAGTAATAAAACACTAAGACAAACAGCCAAGTTGTCAAAATCTCTACGGCTCGAAGCTGTTCTAAGTGATATGCACACTATGACGGCCAACATTGGTTGGCTAGTGTTCAGTTGGTGGTTATGAAATGTCCCTTCTCGTAAGACATTTTCTAGATGAAGGCACCACTGACACTAATGTCTTACCATTATGTAGGAGGTATTTCTTGGAGGTATATGTGGGAGGTATTTCTGCCTCACCCTGGATAATCAATTCCCTTAATGCAAAAACAAAAGGTTTGAAAGGAAATTCCCATCAGTATTAGAAAGAGCAATAAAAATTAGTGGACTTGGAAGCCTAAATTCTTGAAAAATGTTTTATAATTGTTTTATAAATTTCAACAAATGTTAGATTTCGAAGAAAATAGTGCGCCTTATATGGCCCTTTCTTTCTTTGTATAATTTTAATATTTCATGTGTACAATTCTTAAGCTCGAGATATTTTAATAGTACCTTCCTCCGCTATATTTCACATTTAGTTTAATTCCTTAAATTTCAATTTTTACAGTTTTTATATACTTTTTATGAATCTCGAATGTGCAAATTAACCTCTGTTGTTTGGTCATAATGTTTGTAACTTTCAGAAGGTTCTTTAACGTACCAAACTAATTCTGCAATTAAACCCATTCTTATTCGGGTCGGTGTCGCAGGGTTTCAGCCGATTTATTCTTCTACCTTCTTTAGATAATTCATAAGAAAAGTGAAAGGAAAATGAACTTAATGGTCTAAACGAAACGTGTTTGTACATCAACGACTAATTTTCTGTAACAATTGTGAAATTCCTAACGAAGGCTGAAAAAATTTGGCAGAAACGTTGTTACAGCGTCTAAAAAGTTAAGGAATTCATTTGTCCGAACAGAATTTAAAATCAGAACCAGTTAAATAAGGCTTACTTTGAAGCAATTAATGGATTGTTCAATTCCTATCGGGAGGTGCGTTTTTTTAAATAGGATTTTACGAGCTCTAGGCCGGTTGATATCAATGTCACTGTTCACAGGGATATATGCTCAAACTGATGTACCCATTAAAATAGTGTTTATGGTGATAAGAAATAACGCATTTTCTAACATCCAGATTTTGTTCTGGATATTTTTCAAAGCTTCTTCTGATCATTTATACTTGAAAGCAATTATTTAGTATCTTGGTGTCTTGCATTTCTCCGATGCTAACGTCCCTCGCCTCAGAATGCTTGTGTTTCTCATTCGTCACTGGCAGTCTCCTGTCTGATACGGGAATCGATCTACGACCCACAGTAGTTGATTTTAAATAAGCTGCTAATAATGTTTATGGGATTAGTTACACCCCAAGTTTATGAAAAGCTTTACATTCATATTGGAGTTGCACTACACTGCACATGACCAGGTAATCCGTCGGGTTTAAGGGTTTTGTTTGCATATATATTAAAATGCCCACGATGCTATTCTGTGTTCCCGGAGTTTCCATCTGACTAGGAATAAGTCGGTTTCATTTATTGTTCAGTATGAATGATCTTTTTGCATACCATTGGAGTTCAATGCTAAATATCCGGTCTGTTAGATTCCGCTAGTGTTGTCTACCAACAGCAGTAAAAGCTAAAGTGGATAGCACATGCAACCTTTAGAGAAAACAATGACGTAATCAACATGCTGACATTCCGCACTACTTCAAATAAAAGGCTAGGAAGGAAACCCCCATTAGTACTTGAAAGAGCGATAATAACTACTGGACTTGAGAAACCTGTTTTCTTGAAAAGTTGTTCTAAGAGAAAGATTTTATAAATTTCAACTGATGGCAGTACTGGCTGCTTGGTCAATGGACACTAAATTTTTTTTCTTATAAGTAAACAGCTAATATTAACATTGCCATTGCTACTGACTACATCTAACATCCTGATGACAGTGTCATCAGCGTAATCCTGGCAGGGCTGGCTTCCAGATGTTACGCCTTGCCAAAGACTTGTCATTCCTCAAGATTGGCTGTCAGCCAAAGCTAAAGACCCCAGTCGGTCCTACTAGATAATAAACAGCTAGAGAAATGGATTCAAATCTTTCTCAAAGCTATTTTCATGTAAGTGAATGTAACCAACCCGAATTGAATTCGAACTCGGCTTTCCGAGATCTTATTCCGAGCCGCTATCTGTTACGCCATCCACAGTTCAATTAGGAAGCAAAATTTGGTCATTGTGAATTATCACACCTGAATTATGACCAATATTCATTTAATATTTGCAACATTATTCTTTAACAGTATTCGCAAATGATTATTGACAGTTAAAGAGGCGTTCTGAGAATTATTTTAACAGAGGGTGAAAATGGCGCATTGGGATAGCCACAAATGCATTACAAAACTTAACACTTTGAGCCCTGTCTACCGCTTTACCGGTGGTAGATAAAAATGACGTAATGCCTAGTTGAACGGTGGATAAACACTTGCGTCATGTTTTGCTATTGGTTGTCTTATTTTGAAGAGCCAATCAGAAAAGTCGTAATATTCTGATGACATCAAACGTTATACCAACATGTCCGCGTCTTTTCATTGTGTTTTGTGCATGCGTTTTGTATAAAAAGATCGATTTTGCCATGCAGAGTCTCAACCTGAACTGTCAGGGAAGCAATCAGGGACTATTTTCATATTTAACGTGAAAACTTACCAATTATTTGCGAATTTTGACTCAGGAGCTCAGACAGAAGGGTTAGAATTGTTCAGGAACGCAGGGTTCATAAGCTTAAGCAAAGTATTAAGAAACAGAAAGATTTTGTTAGCAACAAAGAAAAGAGTACTGAACTGTTATGAAATATCGGTCCGCCAATATGGCGGGGAATATGGTCAGTTTTCTCACAGATGAAGAATCGACTTGAATAAACAAAAATATGAATCTACAGAAGGATGCTGAGAATGCCATGGCCCGAACACGTGAGCAACGACGAAGTTTTAGAGAAATGAAAACAAAAAGGAAACTTATGCTTAACATCAGGAAGAGAGAGTTTAAAATTCGAGGAAAGAAAGATTGGAAAAACTGATACTCATAGGGGTGGAGGGCAAGAGTGACAGGAAAGCAATGAACCTTGTGAGCTTGAGTAAATAAATGATGAAACAAGGTTTAGGAGAGTTAACAAAAGGACACAATTTATTAATAGCTAAAAAAGACAGGAAAGTTTGGAGAGTCATGATCGCCTACGTCATAAAGGGACACGGCAAAAAGAAGATTACAGTCTAGTTAACCTTCCACACTCCGCAAAGAAGTATATTTCCTTTCGGTCAAGCCGAGTGTGAAGTAATAATGAGAAGGTCATGAGTCTGCAATATACGGAATCTATTCAAAGGTCAGAACAACAAATCAGTTTGTTACACCACAGATTGACTGTTAATTTGTAAAGAGACTATATATAAGGTTGGTGAAAAAGTTGGCAAATTACATCAATCAAGTAACTTAAGCCTGGCAAAAAAGGTTTTGAAAGAACAACCACATTCACCACATTTATAGTAATTATTCTAGAGGAATTTATTACTATGCTGCGTTTATACTTGCCATCATACAATCATGTAAGCTAGCCGTTTGCCTATCTGTTAAGTTGTCTAGCTAATCCCTTTCGCAGACACCTGCACAAGCATTCAGCACCCACAGAACCAACCTGAGGTTTATTCTACAACTATTTCTAGTTGCAGTTTCGGGTGAGGGGTGGGGTTTCAGAATGTATAATCTCACGTGATCAACAGTTGAAAATAGTCAGTACGCACCTATGACTTGTGACTTAGTGCTAGCACATCCGTCAACAGGTTCAGAACAAGGCTTGGGTCAACCAGTGGGTATGGCAGTTTCCAAAGGTACTGCAGCGCTGAAATCGTCTCCTGTTATTATGAAGATATCGTCTTCACAAATCGACCATGGTGAGATTCGAACCGGGGTCTCACGGTCGGAATACTAACATTCTAACGACTCGGCATTTGCGCATACTCACACACACACACACACACGAACAAAATATAAATGAAGGAATGAAGTCAATAGCGACTAGGTTTGAGGAATCTGAGAGCCGAGTTCGAATTCCAGTCGTGTGCATTATATTCACATATGTACTATTACATTTGCTAAAGGAATTAATCCATCTCATCTACCACCATTAACTATGGACAAATAGCAAAACAGACTGGGTCCTATAATTCTGAATTCAAAAACTGAAGGAACCTGGTACGAGGCAGTTCTGTGTATTCTTCAAATAGTTTGGCAGTTTGGTTCTAAGAACGGTGCTGATGGACCATCATACATCGAAAAGTGACGAGCGACTCCTCCATATCTATCTCTCTCTCTCTCTCTCTCTCTCTATATATATATATATATATATATATATATATATATATATATATATATATTATAATTTTATCAGATAGACAGAAAGAGTTTACTCACTACAAAGATGCAACTTCGTTTCGGTGCATTTCAATTGCACCTCGACTGGTGAGAATAAAAAAATGGTTAATATCATATATATATATATATATATATATATATATATATATATGTAAAATATATATCATTTCCGTTAAGTTCACCATCTAAATAGGTCATGGTTCAGTCACTCCTCCTACCCCAATATAAAGCATGCTTAAGAGAGATATGAAATTAACCCCTCCCTATACTCTACCTTTTCTCTTTAACTACAACTCTCACCCCCCTGTTAAATTACAAAAATTACACTACCCCTCAATTTCTAATCCCATTTTTCCTTTCATTTCGTTATTGGAAGTGTTACCTGATGATCCGGAGTCCTTTAAAAAGGATTTTGGTGAAATAAATTATTGTAATGGTACCTTAAAGTGGTCTGTTTTTCATTAAATATTAGCTCTTTATTCACATTGAGCTCTCAGGATTCCATCCTCTTTGGAATTAGCCATTCGGTTTACCAAGTTCTTCGTAATTTTTATATATATATATATATATATATATATATATATATATATATATATATGATATTAACGTGTGCTCAAACATTTTGTGAATTGGCTTGATATACTGCGTCTAGGCAATTTCAAAGAGATGTGTCAACACGTAGTTGAAATTGTTTCTTGTATTCAATACATTGAATTTAAATACATCTCGATGAAAAGTAGATAGAGGTAGAACCAGTGAAGTGGCTGAACTGATACTGGTGAATATAATAGAGTAGTCGGAGCGAATAATGGAAGGATTCTGTGCCGAAAAGATCTCAGAAACACTTGAAGCCTGCAATGATGAGACACCCTCCAGAAAAGCAATAATTATATAGCGCAAAGGTTATTAAAGATGGCTATTTGTGAAGTTAAAGTAACAACCATCTGCACATTACCATTACACTTGATGCTATCCTCCGAAATCTCTCTCTCTCTCTCTCGCTATATATATATATATATATATATATATATATATATATACATAGAGAGGGATAGAGAGAGATAGTCGGAACACATTACATTGCATCTAGACATATGGTTTTGTTGTTAATCTATCTATCTATCTATCTATATATATATATATATATATATATGTGTGTGTGTGTGTTATAAATTTGGGTATATCATCCCGACAATGCATAGATGGATGTGTTTTCGAAACTTTCATGAACGTTTTTCAAATTGTCAATAACTTACAGCTTTGTCGGGATCATATACCCGAATTTATGACATACTGTCAACACGAAGAACGCATGGATAAAAAAAAAAATCTTTCATTTATTTTCTACCCATTCTAAAGGATTCTATCTTTCGAATCTGACACTTAAAGCAAAGAACATA